CTGCCCATTATGGAACCCATAATGAGACACCATGCATGTATAAAGAGAAGCTTAGGGGTGGTCGAAATGAGATGGTAATTACTAATGGGGCAACCATGCAGCACTGCTTCGCAACCATATCCATCTGGAGCATCTCTCCGCTACTGTTGCAATCTGCATACTTGCTCGCTTCCGCTTGGTAGATGGCATTCCAAGGGACTTCAGCATCCAAGTCACTGACTTTCCAGCAAAACCCCTGCATCCTACTTCAATAGGGAAGCTGTGGGCTTTCCAGTCCTTCTGTCTTGCTTCTGTGATAATGTCATCATATTTTGTTTGTTTCAACTCATGGGAAACCTCAATTCTATCCTCCCATGGAACAGTCAGCTCGACCAAGATAACACACCTTTTGTCATTTGATCTAATGACAATGTCTGGTCTTAGTGTCGTAATAGCTATATCTTGTGGAAACACCAACTTCCTGTCCAAATCGACCATGATTTCCCAGTCTGCTGTTGTTTGGAGGATTCCTGGGAGCATGGTAGTTCTCTGCTGTTGGGGTGCTTTGCTCTGACCTTCTTTACAGAATGATATCCATGGTGTTGTATCTTTAGCTAGTGGGCAAGTTTTGGAAGCAATTATGATGTCAATTTGCCTGGCTACTTCTCTCAGGACTTGGTCGTGTCTCCAAGTATACCGATGCTCTCCTAGGGCTACACTACAGGAGCTCAGTATATGCCTTAGAGAAGCTGGTTGGTCTTTACAAAGGGAGCAGGTTGGATCATCCGTCAAGCCCCAGAGTGACAGATTAGTAGGTGTGGGAAGGGTGTTGCTTAGGGATTTAAGGAAGAAAGCAAGTGATGTTTCAGCTGTCTGCATAAGATCACTCCCTGTCACCTTTCTGCTCTCTACAGATTCCCAACTCAGCCATGCACCCTGACTGCCCATTCCAGTTGCTTTAACTAGTCTAGCTTCCTCCTCGGTTTTCCTTATTTCACTCGTTACCATCTTCCTTTTTGCTTTTGGATCTGCCTTAGACCAAGGGACCCTGCCGTAACTCCCGAGCCCTTTCCGCCCCTCTGCAACAGTACCTACGATGTCACTCTGTCTCAGTCTGCTTTCAGCATTGCTGATAGCATCCTGAGCAGACCATTTCCTTCTTTCCGGAGGTTTGACTTCAGATGCCCTGGCTGTTGGATCTTTCGAGTCTCTGAGCAACATTGCTGTTCGCACTTTCGTTACTTTGAATTCTTCAACTATGGAGGAAGTAGGAAGTGCAGCTGGAGATGAAGTGCTGTAGAGGTTGACAGAGCTGAAAGATTTAGGAACCCCTAACCATTTGCGAAGGAACTTGCCAGCTATCCTTTCCATGGCCTGCACAGAAGTTATGGAGAAGTCATACATGGTGAATGGCCAATTCAACCTAGGAATAATTCCATACTGGAAGCACCAGATCTTAAGCTTCCCAGGAAGTGGTGTCCTATCTACTGCTTTCATCCAGGTAGCTAGCTGATGAAGCGTATCTGCTGTGTGGGTCTTGTCATTGAGACTGTGGTCAAACCATTTTCCAAGGCATTTAATTGGATTCTCACTGATGGTCGGAATCATCTCTCCTTGCATTGTAAACTTGTTGTCTGATATTACGCCTTTCTTGAGGATGAGGCTTCTGGATTTCTTGGGTTTGAAAGTTAATCTGCCCCATGTAGCCAGTTGTTCAAGTCGAGACAGAATCCATCTCATCCCAATTTCCTTGCATGTCATTGCTGTTATGTCGTCCATGAACGCTCTGCAAGGGGGGTGGCGTGTTCCATCAGATGCGAGTGGCCCCCTACATTCTTTTGCTGCATCAGTCAGTAGAATGTTCATGGCTGCTACAAAAAGAATCACTGATACTGAGCATCCAGCCATGATGCCTTTCTCTAGTCGCTGCCAGTCAGAAGTGATATGTCTTGTGGAAAAGCGCATATATAGTCCGCCAAGATGTAATTTGACAAGTCCTATTACCTCAGGTGGCACATGGTAATGTTCCAGGGCAGTGTAGATAAGTTGATGAGGCACGCTTGGATAAGCTTTTGCGAGGTCAAGCCATACCACTGAAAGATCCTTCTTCTCCTTCTTGGCCTCCCCAATCAGTTTGGATATAGCTGCTGTATGTTCGACACACCCAGCAAAGCCTGTTATTCCTCCTTTCTGGACAGAGGTGTCAACATACTTGTTTTCCATGAAAAAGGTTGTAAACCGTCTGGCAATCACAGCCCAAAATATCTTGCCTTCAACACTAAGTAGGGAGATTTCTCTAAATTGGTCAAGTGAGATGGAGTTCTCCTCCTTTGGGACAAAGCAGCCCTCTGCTATGAGCCAAGGAGCAGGGAGTTCTTTCTTAATCCAAAGGACTTGCATGAGTCTCCAAAGTCTTGTGGTCAATAGTGGACAGTTCTTATATATCTTGTAGGTAAGCCCACTTGGACCAGGTGCCGAGCCTGATCTGCCTTTTCTTATAACTTGTTGAACCTCAGACAGCTTGATTGGTGTTGTATCAAACTCATGTTCAGGCAATGGAGCAGGTGATAAATTGGGCTTCTAGGCCAATGGCTCATTACGTCTAGGGTCAGTATGGGCAGCTTGCACACTTGTGTTCATTTCTTCCTTTGTACATTCCAGGTTTCCAGATTTCGGTTTCCCCAATATATCACTTACGAATTGGAATGGACTCTTGAAAAACTTGCTCCTGGTTTTCCTCTTTTCAGACCTCTTTTTTCTCAAGTTATCGGCCTTCCTGAGCAGTAACAGCCTGCGTCTAAGAGATTCTCTCAGCCGATGGAGTCCTTCTTTCTCTGAAACGTCAGCATTTAAGAAAGCTTTCCTCAAACCTCGCAAGTCTTTCCTGATGTTACCTATTTCTTTCTGTCTTCTGCTTGGCCCTTTCTCTTTCGGGATTCCATCCCCCTTCTCCTCAAGTCCAAACCTGTCCATACATACATCATACACAATAGATGTCATAGCTTCAACTTTCCTCTTAGCGTCCCCCTTCAAAGTATTATTGAGGATCTGCTGTAAGTCAGCATCCAAGTCTTTCCATTCAGAACTTGATGCTGCTGGTAGTTTCAGTTTTGGTTTCCTTTCAAAAACTGGTACTTTCACTGCTTCTTCCTGCTCTCTTGTGTTCACTTCCTCCTCTACGGAGACTACCTGGACACTGTGGTTGTTAACCGGGTCTGGGTTGTCCTGCGTCTGACGAGGGGTATTCACCTCTCTGCGTTGTGTTGGAGTTGATGAGCACTTCGTTTTACCTTGATGTATTCTTACGCCATGCCAGTTTTTGAAGATTCTTCCGCAACTTTCACATGAATCTCGTCGTCCGTTGTCATTGCGTGGGTCCTTGTCCGTTGTGTTCTGCCTATTGGATGAGTCTTCCGCCCCCCCTCTCGGATCATCCTGGGGGTATTCTCTTGTTTGGTTGTCTGTAGCTGTAAAAGTGGGTGCTTCGGTCATCTGATCAAAGCATGGTTCTTAAGGGTGCTGGCCTTCAGAACCCCCAATGCTGTCTTTCCAAGCTGTCACAGTTCTATTCTCTGTCGCCATAGGGACTTTCCCCTAGGTCACTGGATAATTCCAGAACTAATGTTGAATTAAACGCTGATGCGCTGTTACCCCAATTCATTCCTAACTCACGCTGCAGCTTCTGAAAACAATATGCATGAATGGTGCAAGACCGGGTGGATCCGTAAGCGTCTTCTGCTGTTAACTCTATACTCTATTGCAAAGCCGCAACATGTGTACATGTATGTAATAATTATATTTTACTTGTGAAATAAATCATGTTTAAATAAAAATAGAATTAAAATGGCACAATGTTTCTAAAACTAGAATTGAAACAACAAGTATGATTGTACTATCAGTGCTGAAATTATTTAGATAACTTATAGACCTCTATTGTATTTAAATTAGTATTGTCAAAAATAGTAAATAATATTTTTAGTCAACATTAATAGCCAATTCTTTAAATGAATACATAGCATGGCGTAACAAGATCAAATGTTCAATGCAAAAATTACTTTTATCTATTTTTCAGATAGATTTTAAATCATATAATTTATTGAGTTTACTTACTGTTTGAGCAGATCCGAGTTGACGGTAAAAAGTCCATACATAATGCGCCAAGAATTCTTGTTAATTTTGATTAAATGAAGTTTGTCAGGTCATTCTCAACATTAAAAGTATTGTCATTAACCTAACTAGACTAGAAGTCAGGCAACTAGAATTTTATTCATTAAGCAGCACCGACTTTTGCCGTAAAAACCTTAATAATTTCACATATATGTAGATGAACAAAGGGCTCAAAAATGCATGTATGTCTAGATAAATAAAAAGTCACAAAAATGCATGAACATTTATGTTTTCTTATAATATCACAGTCCCAACTCACAAAATAATCAGTTCTCTTTGCCAAAAATGTATAAAACAACATATATATGTATTATGTTGATTAGTTCTCTATGAATTTCAATGTAGAATTCCTGGATGTAATGATGTGGACAAATATACATATTTTTGGATATCTCACAATTTGCCTTGGTTTAAATGAAAGTATGAACCTGGGACCTAGAAAACTATAAAGTAGAGTTGTTTTGTTTTTTATTATTTATTTAGTTACATAAAATAGATGTACATGGGGTAATATAGCAAATACAAGAGAGCATACTCAAGTGCTAATCATCATTTTAGCTTATAAGCACTCTAGCCTAGCGGGGAGCCTAGCTTCCTAGCCTAGAGTCGATTCATTCACTCCCCTATCTTTATGGACTTTACATGTACCCCAAATGTCATTTATGATTACAGGAGCTAGAAAACTATATACTAGAGTTGATCCCTCCCGTTCCCCATCTTGAATGATGGACTCTATTATGTGTACCCCATATGTTATTTATGATTTCAGGATCTAAAAAACTAAATACTAGAGTTGATCCCTCCCCCATCTTGATGGACTTTACATGTACCCCAAATGTCATTTATGATTCTAGGACCTTGAAAACTATATACTAGAGTTGATCCCGACACTCCCTCAGCTTGATGGACTTGAGAAATCTTTCTACTCCTTCTACGTTTGTACAGCTGTCAGGAAGTTTTTCTTCTTCCTGGACCCACTAAGGACAGGGAAGGTGAAAATACAAGACATTTTGGCCTGTAGCTTCTTAGATGATTTACTAGAGGTATGAGCCCTTCAGATTTGATGAAACATCCATCTCATTAAGTTATTTAATAAAGACTGCTTTGAAGTTTTTTATTCATATTTGTATATTTAGCAACAAAGGACTTCTCCAAATAAAGAAATGGTGTATTGGCCTGTCCAAAACTACTCCTGCCATCTATATATCCAGTTATATGGACTCAACTGGTTGTTTACTCGATCATTATCTCATCTGACATATAGACATTCTTTGAATACATTACTTTGTAATAGCTGATCAAAGATAGCACATAGAGCATGTTATTTACATAAATATTATACTTTTTTAGTTGCGTGATGAAGACCTGCCTAAAGATGTTCAGGAAAGTAACTGGTTCTCTGCACCCTCTGCTTTGAGAGTGTACGGCCAGTACCTGAATCTCGACAAAGACCACAATGGTATGCTCAGCAAGGAAGAATTAGCCAGGTAGGCATGAAAACTTCAATGAACAGTTAAATCTGTCTGGTAGAACAACCTCCAATATGAAACAGTTTTCAAATGTCCCATAGAGCAATGTGATAGTTATTTTTGTATATTAAGCAAGATCATCTCATTCAAGAACATGTCTACAGGGAACAAATTTTGCCTGTACAAAGTGCATTTAATAGTATTACATGGGCATTGCTATACCAGGTGCTATACATTCTTTCAGTTATAAAACATTAAAACAATTACCTTGTTATTTTCAAATAGTTATACATAATGGGTTTATAAATATAAATATAAATCGCTTTGTCTTTTATTTCATTGCTTTATCAATCCCAGGTAAGAAGTTTTCTAAGGATATGTTTTTATTATCTGATTATCTGTTTGATCAAATATCCTAAGCTGTTCCTGTTTAAAATCGTTAAGATATTTCCATAAAATATAAATGAATCGTGAACTTAAAGATGTAATAATATTTTTCTGCTAGCATAATATTCAATCAAAATCAGGTGTTTAAAATCAAAGCATCAATCTGCTCTCTAGTGCCTTAGCAGCCTTTAATACAGTTGCATCTTCATAATGGCGCCCTGTGATCATGATTCCCACAGGAAGGCCCTCTGGGAAACCACCATTCAGTGAAATAGATGGATGGCCTGTGAGGTTTGCCGCTGTTGTATTTTGTATCATACCAAACCCCATCTTGGAGCAGCTCTGAAATGAGTTTATTTCAGATTAAATAGATGAATGAAAATGTGATATTCACTAAACTAGCAATACACATGTATATGTACATGTGTATTTGAGGAATATCCCTTTAGGATATTGAAAATAGTAATGGAACATAAATTCCCAATTAATCTAGTGTCTTTACATGAATAATTACAAGGAGCACACGCGTCTCGAACTCGCAACCTCGTGGCTACGGCACCTACTCGCCTAGTTTGAACGTACTGGGGCTGAAGCCCTCTCGGCCAACTCGACAACTCCAAAAAAAGTTGTTTTGTTAGTCGATTTGAGGCAGCTGATGTTAATGATCGAACACATTATATTTTCCTCTATCCGTCTGTCATTCTGTCTGTCATAATCAGTTTTATTGAACTTACCATTTATTTTAAAATCTTTTGTTGGTAGTTTTGGAGCCTTATATGGTAGTGTAGGCATGACAAGTAAGTCATATTTCTCAAATGCTTTGTTGTACATATCAGTGAAGCTCTTTGCTAAGTCTTGGGCTTTACCAAAGAACCATAGAACCTCTTGTTGTATTCTCCCCAAAGGCATGTGTGCTGCCATGTAAATGGTAAATCATGTGGCCTACTTTTCACTTTCTTTCTGAAGTGGTCTGTGAGTGAGTTGGGGTAGAATCCTTTACCCATGCTTCCACCTACAAAGTAAAAATGACAAAAATGAGTCTATATATTCCTAGATTTATTCAGATAAGAATCATAAGGTGAAATTTTAGATTATTTAAATTAAGATCAATTTGTTGTAAATGTTTACATTCCTTGGATGTATCAGAGCAGTTACTAATTAGATCCTTTGTTTGAGAATTCTGTGATCACAATCAGATCAAATATAGGAGATGATATACCATAGAACGTCTGTAGGTATCCACCTTCAACACCAACAGCTGTCCATATTGCAGCAGCTGAAATAGAAAAACAAGGAAAGACAACAATTGGTCTTGTTCTTTCATATGTTATGGCACATTGAAAATTATTTTCTGATCCGCCCTTACTGTCTTCTCTATATACAATACAGCCTTAGTTCTTTTCATACCACTCGGCAAATCATAAGAGATATTGATTTATGTCATATTTAGATGTTATTACCATCTTTGTGCATAGGTATGGACACATCTTCTACAGTGGCCCCAGCTTTAAAGAACACCTCAATTGTAGCCCTAACAATCTCCTGTACATCGGGTTCACAGTTTTCAAAACCCTCCACAACGAATCCTATCTTTAACCCAGAGATATCTGTGCCCAGCTGAAATGATGAATGATTTAAATATTACTGATTAGAATAGATCCCAAAAATATGACGATTGTTTATATTTTATTTGAATCAAATGTTCCATTGTTCCTCATATACATATTTCTAAATTCTTTCTGAAGTGCACCATATACAGTAGTTGCTCTCATAATCCTAGAACATGTAACGACAAACTTTAAATCTTACAAGTTTTGAATATTCTTGAACTGGACGATCAGGTTCTTGTCTTGAATCAAAGCCATCATAACCAGCCAGGACCTCAAGTAACAGAGCACAGTCATCTACAGTCCTGGTCATTGGGCCAAGGTGGTCTATAGTTGTCAACAAAGAGCAGGAACCACTGTAGGGGACCAACCCAAACGTGGGTTTAAGAGCTACAATACCACACCAGCTGGCTGGGATTCTAACAGAACCTCCTTGATCTCCACCTATTGAAAGATCAACTTGACCACTAGCAACCTGTAACACAATGTATATGATATAATATTTACTAGGCCAGTACTCAGCAAGAAATTAGTTAAGACACATTTTTTCTGGAAAATGATTCATTCCATTGTGCATGTAGTAAGGAGACCTTTGTGAGCAGGCTAGTAGCCAGGATTTGCCAAGGGGGAGTTCAGTTTTCAAAAATTTCCAGGGGGGTTCACATTTGACAATTTTGGCCCAAATATGGCTAAAATTACTTGAGAAGTGCTCAAAATGGTGAAAAACTGCATCCCAAACCCTACGAACCCCCCTGACTACGGGCCTGTTAAGGGTTGGGAACTTATCCATATATATGATTGGTAAAGAAGTGGTCATTTGAGGATTGATCAAGGAGTGTAATAGGCAAGGGCTATGCAAGGGATATGAGCATTCAGAAGGTATGTATGGAATTGAGCTTTGACCTGAGTTTTGAATAAGATTGGCTAAGGATTTAAGTAATTTAAGATAGTAATATGTAGCACAAAAGAATAGTTTAGGTCAATGTCATGAATGCTAAGGAAGGTAAGGTCAGGGCATGAGTAGTCAAAGTGCTTGAATCTGATTGTATTCACTATGTCAAAGGATAGGTATCAATATGGTGAACTGAATTCAACAATGTTTTTCTCTTAAGGCGACGCTATATTAAATAAAAAGTACAAAAAATGACTGCCATATTTTTTTGATAAAGACACATGTTTTTAAAATCTGTTTACCTTGTATATGAATTGTGTATCTTGACTAATGAAACATGTCAAAGTTAACATCACACATAAACGCATTTTTCCAAACTATGAATTGGAGGTGCATGGATCCCCAAAGCTAGCATGAAGAGTGCGAAGTGAGGCTAATTTTTGAAAGTTTCAAGGAGTAGCCTTGCAACAGTCACACATTTGCAAGAGTCTAAAATTTCCACAAATCATCTTACCTTACCAAGGAACAACGAAGGAGCACGAAAATGTGTACTTCTTGCATTGTTAGAGTATAATAAAGCTCAAACCATTGTGAATTCTAAATATTTCATGTCCACCATTTTGTTTCCTGGAACTATTTTTTAGTCCAGAGTTATCTTCATTCATGTTTCCATTGTTTATCATTCATAAAGCCTCTATCATGTATCTATCATGATAATTACACTGTAATAGATAAAACATACAAGTGATAATCCATGCCACTTGGTGTAGTCACAAAACTTGCATGAGGATTAATCAGGAAGTCTAGAAGTAGTTCCGGCAAACAAAATGTGGACATGAAATATTTGGAATTTACAATGGTTTGAGGTTTATTATACTCTAACAATGCAAGAAGTGCACATTTTCATGCTCCTTCGTTGTTCCTGGGAAAGGTAAGATGATTTGTGGAAATTTTAGACTCTTGCAAATGTGTGACTGTTGCAAGGCTACTCCTTGAAACTTTCAAAAATTAGCCTCACTTCGCACTCTTCATGCTAGCTTTGGGGATCCATGCACCTCCAATTCATAGCTTGGAAAAATGCGTTTATGTGTGATGTTAACTTTGACATGTTTCATTAGTCAAGATACACAATTCATATACAAGGTAAACAGATTTTAAAAACATGTGTCTTTATCAAAAAAATATGGCAGTCATTTTTTGTACTTTTTATTTAATATAGCGTCGCCTTAAACCAATTATTGAAAATATTCTGTAAAAATGGTTCTTATGTAATGTTTACTGATTGGCAACAATTTAATGCAAAAATTATTTATATATATTTTATTTAGCTGTTTTTGTTAACATTTTTGGTTTTTTATTGCAATTGTTTCTTGTTCCTTTCTACCAATTCTTTAGAATGAAATAAAATGTCTTTCCGAACCTTGTTGGAACAAAATTACATATACAACATTTTCTTAGACCTCTCATAATTACAGTGATGACCATTCAATTGATGATGTGTAAAATTTTCAGAATGTTTTGATGACTGGTTTAAGAGAAACGCATGTTCAAAAAGTTCACCATATCGATACCACTCGTTTCATAAAAAATAACTGTGTGCCACTCACCAAAGCACCAGATCCTGAGCTGGACCCGCCGGTAGACCTGGTCTCATCAATTGGGTTTGTTATAGGCACTGGACCAGTGGAGCTTGTACCTGACCATGTCAAGTTCTCACATTGAGCTTTGCCAGTTATTCGCCCACCTTGGAAACATTATATTGTCATATTAGAAGATGTCATCTAGACTGCGGACTATTCTGTAGAAGTGCTCTAGAAATGGATCTCGCTTTTCATGGAAGGTCACACATTCCAACATATTTCAAACAATTTGTATGATTATAATAGACACTTTCTGGGTAGTTGACTTTATGTAGGGGTGGCAGAAGGCCCTCAGGCCAATTTATACCCCTACCCCAACAAAACCTTGGGGGTACTTTAATACCACCCAATAAAAATAATACTAATGCATATCAGATATTCATCGTTTTATAGTGGGTAGGGCATGCCATGGTTAGTCAGTGCCGGAAATTTCCAATCTCTGACTTATATGGTTACCATGGAAACAGTATTTATATCCCACAATCTTCTCAA